TCCTGGTTGGGGATCTGAACGGGCACCACCCAAGCTGGGGCTGCCCCCAATCCGACCCTCGAGGTGTTACCCTGGTCGATATTTTTGAGAAGGAAGACATGGTGATTCTGAAGAACGGTGTGCCCACGTTTAACGGGCGGCACACTTCTGCCATCGACGTTTCAGCCGCTGCTTTGCCGGAAAAAAAACTCAGTGGAGCGCGAACACGGATCTTTATGGTAGTTCAAAGTTCAACTTTCGACCGCCATCTTCCCGATGGCAACACGGAGGCCCCGATGGAGCTATGAACAAGCGGACTGGGATAGGTATGGTGAAGCCTTCCAATCCTTGTTACTACAGCGTAATCCAAACAGCATTGAAGACTTTTCAAAAGTGGTATACGAAGCGGCAACAGCAACCATCCTAAACACCAGCAGTGTTCCGGGGCGAAAAGCGCTACGCTGGTGGAATGAAGATACGAGGAAAGCCGTTAAAGCCCGGCGTAAAGCACTTCGCCGTGTAAAAAGCCTTCCTGTAGGACATCTCGACCGCGAGGACGCTCTCCGTCACTACCATGAGTCGCACAATCAATGCCGGCAAGAAATCCGACTCATGCAGGCAAGCCAACGCCCTCAGTGGGAAACGGCGCGTGACACCGCTCCACGTACAGATTAACGGTGAAGCGGTTTCTGACCCTGCAATTGTAGCGGACGAACTCGGCTCATACTTTGCTTAGCGGACGAACTCGGCTCATACTTTGCTTAGCGGACGAACTCGGCTCATACTCGGACATCAACCAGGCATTCTCCTGGCAGGAATTGCAGCATGCACTCCGGTGCCGCAACGGAAAGTCGGCGGGTCCCGACGAAATCGGGTGCCCTCTACTCAAGAGGTTACCAACGCCAGGCCAGCTACGGATGCTGGAGTTTTTCAACAAGCTCTGACTCACCAACTCGTATCCAGCGTCGTGGAAGGAGAGCTTAGTCATTCCCATCCCAAAAGCCAATGAAACAACCCGTGAAGTTAACAAGTTCCAGCCAATAGCCTTGACATGCACACTTAGAAAAATTCATGTAAATTTAGGTGCTCTGAGAGTGACATATACGAGCGTCAATTTTGACATAAATTTGAGTCATAACAGACGCAAAATAAACTTCAATCAAACGTACTTTTCGTCGAGCAATGAACTTTTCCGTCTCGGAGCACTTAATATTACACGACATGTTTGTTTACGTCTCATTTTTTATGTCAAAGATCGATTCCGTCACGTGTAAAATTAGTTATTTCTAAGTGTGTGCTGTATGGCCAAGGTCCTGGAGCGATTGGCAACAGGAGGCTAAAGCATTTCCTTGAAGCCGAAAACCTGCTAGACCATCGACAGCACGCCTTCCGTCAAGGGTACGGAACGTCAACTTATTTCGCAACATTAGGAGAGGTCCTCAAGAGTGCCAACGATAGCGGTCTCCACACCGAGATCGTTTCGCTGGATATATCGAAGGCCTTCAACAGGACGTGGACGCCCCTCGTCTTAGAGCCGCTTGTCAAATGGGGGCTGTGTGGTCCCATGGTCCACTTCATCAAAAATTTCCTAACCGATCGCTCTTTCAGAGTCGCAGTTGGCAACACGAGATCCCAGCTTTTCAGAGAAGAGACGGGCGTCCCACAAGGTTCAGTTATCGCCGTTACTCTCTTCCTTGTGGCCAAGGTCCACTGGTACGGAGACAAAAGTTGGCGCATACCTCCACCAAAAATCGAGAGTGGATAAAGAGCAGGTTCAAGGCTGGAGATAACTCTGCAGCGCTGAGGAGAACAGTAGCCGAACTGCTAGGCTTGGACTTCCCAACCCATGCCCACATATACACGGACGGATCGCTTTCCCGAGCCGGGGTCGGAATTGGAGTAGCCGGAATTTCAGCACCGATGAGTAGCAGCCTACCGCCACAATGCTCGGTTTTCTCCGCCGAAGCTGCGGCCATATTTGTTGCCGTTACAACACCCTCGGACCGGCGCATACTGGTGCTATCCGATTTATACAGCGTGATACAACCCTTTATATCCGAGACCCTGACTCACCCCTGGATACAGGATAATGAGGAGGCCACACCTCCGAACACGGTGTTTTCCTGGATCCCTGGGTACTGCGGTATCCCAGGAAATAGCGAAGCCGACAGCCTGGCAGCGTCTGGACCAGCTGGCCCCCGTTACACCGAAGAAGTTCCACTACAGGACATAAAGCGATGGATAGTCAGCCAAACGTGGGAAGCCTGGGAAGCAGAGTGGTGCCAATCCCAATTTCTCTTCATCCGAAGAATCAAAGGAACGACGAGCAAGTGGACGGATATGTCGAAACTACGGGACCAGAAGGTGGTTTATCGGCTTAGGACAGGCCATACAAGGATCTCACATAGTTTTGGTGAGACGCAGTTCCACAGATTGTGCTACGTTTGCGGAACCACTGCATCGGTGGAACACATCCTATGCCTGTGTCTGCAATACCAACAAGTACGGGAGCAGTACGCACTTCCCAACAGCATTAGGGACATACTGGGCGACGAACCTTCCACTTTAGCGACAGTTATTTCTTCCTCAAGGACGCTGGGCTATACAACAACATTTAGGTCCTTTTAACTTTCTTTTGGCTGACGGGATATCTCTGTCGGACGGGGGATTACCCCTCCTACGGTGGAGCTCTGATCTCTTTCAAAACCCTACATAACTTTGATGTACCAGATTGTTTTTTTTTCTCGTTGCCTGTATTGTTAGTCTTTTTACTGAAATCTGTTTTAATTGCTTCTATTTGAGTACATGTGAATTGTAAGCCAACTCCGTAATAAAAATTGCAGGCAGAACCCCCATCTGGGGCCTTCTATTTTATAGAGATGAACTAGCCAACGGCTAAAAATCCCTCTAATAAAGTAAAAAAAAAATCAATCATTTAGTCTGAAATATTGCTTGAAAGTCCAGCAACATTTTCTGATACAGAAATACTATCTTTATCAAGCTATACAGTGAGTGAATTTTAGAAGTGACAGGTAACGCATGGTAAAGGGTACACAGAGGTGGCTTTAATATTGATTTTATTCGAGAAAAAACTTCGTCTAATTTGTAAAACCATCTTTTTTACATTCTTATAATTTGTACTTTTATTCTAAGAGCATTTCACTATTTTACATTATCAAATCCTTCAATTGACGTTAACTTTATATCTGTCATCAACAGTCTAGTAATGGCTATAGTGGTTGGTGGCATGATGTCCATCATGATGGTTATAGTTGGCAATCGGGGCAATGTGTGAAATGGTAGCATGGGCTACTGGAGCAACATGGTGGGTGGTTTGGGAGTGTACAACTGGAGCGGCATGGTGGTGCGAAACGTGAGCAACTGGAGCAACATGATGGGTGCTTTGGATAACTGGTGCAACATGGGTGCGTAATAATGGTCCAGCATGGTGGTGCGAGACGTGGCCAACTGGAGCTGAATTGTGGTGTGAAATGGCCACTGGAGCAACATTGGTGCGTAATAATGGAGCAGCATGATGGTGCGAGATGGCAGCATGATGAATTGGAGTAGCGTGTGAAATGGTAGCATGATGGCTTGGGGCTACGACGTGACTAGCGATGTGCACAGGCTGAGCGATGACCTTGTGCACAGGTTGAGCCACCCTCACGTGGGTCGGTTCACGGCGGACAACGGCGTTGAATCCGGAATGATGATCAGCGTGGTAGTCAACAATGCGGTGGTGGCCATCGGAATCGATCAGACTGTACTGTCCATGGACTTCGTCTCCGTGACGAGTCTCGTGCTGGCTCTTGATGTCTCCGGTGTGTTCATCATGGACGGAGTATGAGAACTCGTAGTTGGCTGGAGCGTGGTGCTCGACTTCCTTAACGATGGTGTGATGAACTGGAGCAGCGTGAATGGCGGCCACGTGATGAACGGGAGCGGCGTGAACAGAGGCAACATGATGGACCGGAGCAGCATGGTGATGTTGGATCGATTGGTGAGAAGAGGCATATCCGTGTGGAGCGATGACTCCAGCGTTAGCGGCAGCGAGCAGTGTCGCTAACAGGACAAACTGTTACAATTAAAACGGGAAAATGTTAAATCAATTAAGCCTGAAAACTATGTACAATATTACTTTGAATGCCATTTTGTGTTGCTGTGATGTTAAGTGATGCTCTCGTGAACTGAGAATGATTATCAGGATCCCCTACATCTGTTTTTATAGTGCTTCTAAATTTGCCAAAATTCTCCAAAATTGCAGCCATCCTTGAGGGGTGTGTTTCACTTTCTCTCAGAATCCATACGCAACGATCACGCATTAAGCGATATCCTCGCAAGCCCCTTGCCACTTTAATTTGTATATCGAACCAGTTTATCTTGGTTTATACATGCCTCTTTATATCACCGATCAACAATAAACTGGAGCTATTACTGACTGTTTTCTCATGTTTCCACCGTTGACCGAGTTTTAAATATTTAAATCTGAATTTGATAAAGGAAGGAATACAACATATTAAAACGAGTAACTCATGGAATCAATTAACTCAATTTTGATTATACGACATGAACTTCTGTTTTGAATTTTAATTCGTGTGGCATCATTTATATGATCTTATGATTGAATGGAGTTTCTGCTAATTTTTTGTTTGTGCGTTGAACACAATGAAATAAAAATGCATCAACTTACTATTTTCCATCTTCTTCTTTGTTCACTGGATAAATCACGATTAGTGTATGAACGCTTGAGTTGTGTTGTGGTGTTGCGAAGCTGTGTGAAATTCCTCCGATTTCGCTTGACTTTGAACTTTGTTCAGGTATTCCACGATAAATTTGCATTAGATTTCATTGTTTGATTCATCACCGAGTATCATGTTATGCTCCGTATGTGCTTTAGTTCATGATGCTATAATTTCGCTAGCAAATATAATTGTCCAGATAAAGCCCCGAAGGTTTAACCCAGCTCGATGAAATAAAATAAAGGCTTAGTTGTAAATTGTAATAAATGTTTATGATTTCAGTCCTTCAGCAATGTTACGACCGATTTTTAGTCCAACACGGTTATTTTCCATTCACCGCGCTCTGTGCAGTAAGGCAGCAACGAATGGCCTCGTACTAACCGATGTCGACATCAAAACCGGATACGCCAAGGTTACACTGAATCGAGCCCCTGTGAATGGCCTCAATCTAGAACTGATCACGGAAGTCAGTAGAACCATTGATGATCTGGAAAGGGAGAATGTCAAAGGAATGCTCCTAACCTCGGTATAATTTTGATAAAGCCAGTTGATGTTAGTTCTATAGGACAATAATGAACTATTTTTCTTAGTTTTCCGATAAAGTCTTCTGCGCCGGTTTGGAACTTACGGAGATGGTCAATCCGAATCCTGATCGTCTGCAAGCTGTTTGGACGAGCCTGCAGGACATGTGGGCGAAAGTGTATGGCTGTTCGTTTCCAAGTGTCGCTATTGTCAATGTAAGCTAATTTTTATTTTATTTCATCAATTCTATTTAATGGCTCTGAAATTTTAGGGACACGCACCTGCTGGTGGTTGTTTACTGGCTATTGGCTGCGAATATCGTATCATGTGTCCCAATTTTATCATTGGACTTAATGAGACAGCACTGGGGATTGTTGTTCCACCGTGGTTGCAGATCACCATGAGAAACACCATCGGGGCCCGGGAATCCGAAATTGGGTGCACTAAAGGAACTCTTTACAGTTCCGAACAGGCTCTGAAGGTAAATTGCTTTTGCAAAAACTGTTTGTTGAAGTGAAGTTTATGATGATATATGTTAATGCATTTTCAGGTTGGACTTGTGGACGAGCTAGCAAACAACAAGGAGGAGGCAATGGCGAAAGCCATTGGGTTTTTGAATACGTTCAAGAATATGTCTCCGTACGCAAGATCCGCTACAAAACTGATGCTGCGAAATAGAGACATTGAAGATATGAAACGATACAGAGAAGATGTAATTTGAGTTGAGTTTAAACAGTTTTGGATATTTTGATAATTTGGTTTCATTTTCCACAGGACACAAATCGCTTCATGAACAATGTGATGAATCCCGAATTTCAGCAAGGGCTGGCGGTGTATTTGCAGTCTTTGAAGCAGCGGAAGGCTAAATAAATATGTAATTGTTATACATGAACTGATTAATACTTGTATTAAAATCGCATTCACATGTTAAATAAAAGACTTCTTTGATATTTGCACCATTGAGCAATGTCAAAAATAACAAAATTCTCAAAAATGTTAATCATCGATCGAATTTCCAATTGCTGCAATTACGGCCTCTACATGCTTCCGGAATGCACGGCAGGTTCTAATAATGTAGTCTGGATCCATTTCTCTCCAGGTACGGTTCAATGTTTGTCTGAGGCTTGCTGTACTCGGGTGGCGTTTAGAACAGGCCTTGGCCTTCATGACGCGCCATATTGAGTAATCCAGCGGATTAAGATCGGGGCTGGATGGCGGCCACATATACTTCGCCCAGAACGGAAGATGTTCCTGCAACTACTTCTGAGTGCAGTTCGAGGTATGGCACGGAGCCCCATCTTGTTGAAATACAACATTTGGCTTCGGATCGTACTGTTCTTTGATCCACGGAAGAACATACATACTTAAAATCCCCATGTAGACCTCCGTGTTGACATTGTCGCCTTCTGGAATGAACACCGGGTCCATTTTTTGCCATCGGAAGCCACCAATCCAAACACCATAACGCTAGCAGGATGCTTGGTCAGATACACGTTCTTGTGCTCGTCGGCCAAGTCTTTTACTGGAAGAGAACTAATATACCGGTCGGTTCTGGAATTGGATACGGGATCGACGGTAAACATGCTCTCGTCGGTGAACAGGATTACCGGATTTTTTCGCTTAAGGAAGTGCAAGATTTTCTTGCATCGTTCGACTCGTAGCTCCCGGATGCGGTTGGTAATCATATGAGTTTTTTTCCGTGCCCTCGACTTCGCCCCGCAATCTTCCGTACCGTAAAGTCACTGATTCCGTGTTCCTTTGCCATTTTCCTTATTGAACGCACTGGATTCACCCGAATCTTCCTTTTGATAGCAGCAATAACACTCGGAACCCGAGCTGACCTCGGACGACCTGTGGCCACCTTCGCGGATAGCTGTCACTCCCACGGCGATTGAAATGTCTTTTTGCGACATTTGTGCGTGGGACAAATCACGAATACGCTGCCACTTTGTCATGGTGCAACTGTCAAACTAAGTAAATCATTTTCTTTTACACACAGCCTACTACGGTATGAACTATAGGTTACGTGCATGCAAAGAAAACTAAGGCATTGTATGCACAGGTGAAACGGGAACCTTATTTGTACGATGGTGCAAACATTATCACGCATACGGTACTTTTAGCGTATAAAAAAGGCAATCGGTCGATGGAAAAAGATCAATTTAAATTTAAAAGGTCTAAGGATATCATGTCAAATTAGTGTTGTCAATGGGATAAAGGTCGAGTTGAATTTAGTGAAGAGTTGTAAAGGTAATTTCTTGGTGTGTAATTCTGAAAAAAAAAAACGTAGGTGGAATTTATCAAGGTTAGTTTAAGCAGAATTATACAGATTGACTTAATCTAAGTTTAAGTGAAAAATACTAACATCGCAAAGAGAATTGAAGAGTGCATTCCAAGAGTTTAATGGGATAAACAATTTGGAGCGCAAAAAAATTGAATGGAATACCAAATAGAATATTAACCTTCCTAATGAATTAGGAAAAAGTTACACATTGTGCATTAGCGGGTCAAAAAAGACCCAAACTGCAACTCGCTCCCAAAAATCATCCTGTTTTTTTTAGGCCCTGTTGGAACCGGTTCCGGGTACGCAAATGTGGCCAGACCGAACTGTCGGTCCATGGCATGATGTCTATTTACTTCTGGTTGAAAAATCATAAGTTTTGAGCCGTCGGTTGATACCACTGCATGAGGGTTAAAAAGTGTCATTTTTGGGGGCCCTCCCAGAACCGTTTCCGGGTATCCAGTTGTGGCCAGATCCTTCTGTTCATGGCATGATATCTATTTACTTTTTGATGAAAAATCATAAATTTTGAGCCGTAGGACATTATAAGTACATGAGGATTTGGAAGTGTCCATTTGTGCCCTATTGGAAACATGCTTGGCATACACAGTTTTGGTCACGAACTGCTCATTTGCTAATAACTTTGGACACAGTTGACGAAACATAGTTATTTTTGAAGCAGTAGATAGAATAGAGTTTAAGCTTTGTTATGGATACGTAAAAACAAGTAGATTTTAATTCTAGTTATAAACTGCAACTGTTTTTGTGTTGTAAAAATGAAGTGAGAAATGCTCGCTGCACATCTCGGACTTTCAGAGTAAAAATGCATTGATGTTGATTCAAATGTTAAGATTTATCTACTTTTTGCATATCTATAGTAAGTTATGATCCAAATCTATCAAATACTTTAAAGAAAAACAAATTTCATCAACTGAATGAAAAGTTATTAACAAATGAGCAGTTGGTGTGTACAACTGTGTATACCAAGCATGATTGGAAAAATCCTGAGCAGTGTGCTTTTCTAGATACCTTTATCTTTCATTTGAGACCAATAGATGCAGAATCAGTTAAAAAATGACAATGTGTCACTTTTTTTGTAGCGCATCTCCTAAAAGTCGCTAAAATATGGGAATACCCAAATTATTGTCAATGGCGTTTGCGACACGATCTGAATAAACACAGACCAACCTTCTCCAGAAATCGCATTTCGATGATGATTCGAATAACATGCATCAGTGCCAAACTGGGACTGCAGAAAACTGCCGACAGGAAACTTCAGAAGCTGAACTTCAGACAGGGAACTTTGGTCGTATGCTGACAGGGAAGGGGGGCTACATCCTTTTCGGAGGATGTGGCTTACAAAACCCGAGCATCTGTTCTCCATGTTAAGGGCGGCCCAAACAGCGTCCGACTGGCATCCAGCGGCTACGAAATACGAAATGCTTCTCCCCGAAAGCTATACCCAAGCAGGCAGTCCCATCACGGCGGATAGGAGACCTTAGGCCAACCACCTACTGTCTCCGAATCCTTCAAATTGTTACAGAAACCTGTAGTGAAAGACTATGAACTGATTTTATGAAAACGCTCCGCGACATCGTGGAGTTGGTTTTCTGCTTAGCGCCCAAGCACAGGCTGCGCTTATCAATGAGGGTCCGAAACCTTACCACAATCCAATGTTATGCGCCAGCCGATGCTGCCGAATCGCAGGACAAAGAGAACTTTTACAGTCAACTGAATGCTGTGGATAAGCCTCCAAGAGGCGTTATCAAGATCTACACAGGCGACTTCAATGCGAAGAATTGCTCCGACAACTCGCACTATGAGCACATTATGGGACGCCATGGTCTCGGAGATATGAGCGAGAACGGCGAGCTGCTTGCAGAGTTTTGTGGCAACAATGACATGGTGATCGGGGGTTCGCTCTTCCTCCATCGCCCAGTGCATACAGTCACATGGGTCTCCCGTGATGGACATACCGAAAATCAGATTGACCACATCTTCATCAGCCGAAAATGGAGACGGAGCCTTCTTGATGTTCGGAATAAACGCACCGCTGAGATCGCGTCTGACCATCATCTCCTGGTCGGTGAGATCCGCCTACGCATTGCGTGGGTTCAACGGCGTGAGGAGAGACACGGCCGGTGATTCAACACACGCTGACTGGAAGACCCAGCAGTGAATAGATCGTTCGTCGAAGAACTCGCGGCTCGCGCAGCTTATATTCCGGAAGGTGGCAGCGTAGAAAAACAGTTGACGAGCATCAAGAATGCCTTTATTGAAACAAGTGAGTACACCTGGGTGAGCTGCGCACTCAGAGGAAGGAGTGGATCATCGATGAAACCTGGAGGAAGATCGAGGAGCGAAGAGAAGCAAAAGCCGCGATAAAGCGAGCAAGGACCCGAGGAGGCAAGAACGAGGCCCGTCAGCGGTATTCGGCTCTAGAGAGGGAAGTTAAGCGTTCCTGTATACGAGACAAGCGAGCGTGGGTGGACTTCCTGGCTGATGAAGGGGAGAAAGCCGCAGCAACTGGCGATATCCGCCTCCTCTATGATGTTTCACGACGCCTGAGCGGGGCAAGGATGAACCCAAGGTTGCCTGTAAAAGATGTGACTGTACAGTTGCTCACCGACCCCACTGACCAGTTTGAGCACTTTGAACAACTTCTCGAAGTTTCAGCGGTCAACCAACCATCAACATCTCGGCATGAACCGCCAAGGGTGAGGAGCGTCAACACTGAAGCTCCATCATTGCAGGAGATAGAAGCAGCCATTCGAAGTATGAAGTCCAACAAATCCCCGGGGGTCGATCGCATATCAGCAGAGATGCTCAAAGCTGACCCCATGCTATCCTCACAAATGATGCATCAACTATTCGTCAATATCTGACATACCGCGACTTTTCCAGCCGACTGGATGCAGGGCGTCTTGGTAAAAGTCTCCAAGAAGGGGGATCCAACTGTATGCGACAACTGGCGAGGCATCATGTTACTGTGTATTGTTCTCAAAGTTCTGTGTAAAGTTATCCTCAATCGGATACAGGAGAAGATCGACGCGACTCTCCAACGACAGTAGGCAGGATTCCGTGCTGGAATATCCTGTGTGGACCATATTGTCACGCTCCGCATCATCTTAAAGCAGGTCAATGAGTTCCAAGAGTCCCTGTACTTGGTATTCATTGACTACGAAAAAGCTTTCGATCGACTAAACCACGAACACTTGTGGGGCGCTCTGAGACGCAAAGGAGTCCCTGATAAGATCATCAACCTCATCGAAGTGCAGTACGAGGCTTTCTCATGCAGAGTGTTGCACAACGGAGCTTTGTCTGACCCGATTTGGTTAATCGCGGGTTTGAGGCAAGGATGTATATTATCACCGCTACTGTTCCTCATCGTAATCGACGAGATCATGGTTGGAACCGTTGACCGTGTATCGAACCGTGGGTTGCTGTGGCAGCCTATTACTATGGAGCATCTCAACGACTTCGATTTGGCTGATGATGTTGCGTTATTAGCACAACGGCGCTCTTACATGCAGAGTAAGTCCGACGACCTTGTGGAACGCTCCTTTGAAGCAGGTCTAACCATCAACGT